CATGATGGTGCAATGCAATTATCATATCTTAGTGTCATGCAGATAGTAAGACTAATGAGAAAATAACATGAAATTGACATGCCCAACAAGGTTGGATCTTAGCAACAACTATAATTTCTATAGAGGACACAGGGTATGTCACAATCAGGACAAACACAGTTACACCCTCTTATTTATCTCCATTATAAGATTGGTCACAATACCTTCTTTCATGTCTGTACCATTATTTAGTTGGTGGGGCTAGTGGGAGATTCAGCCATCAGAAATTGGGGGGCAGAGACGATCCCATTTTGATTTTGGTTTTGGAGTTTTGAAGAAAAAGGCTCGTTTGATTGTGACCATAACAAAAGTATGTTCACTTATACTGGGAAATCAGAAATGTGATCATGACCCAGTTGCTTTCCAACCTCGATTATCTTCATTCCTAGCAACTAACAAAGGAAAATCTTACTCATCATGATAATGCACATACATTTTAGGAAGTTTAGACGCTGAACTTATCCAACATGATACTCACCAAGTATTATTGCACACAATGCTCTTTGAGGGCATTTCTCTTTTAATAAAACTTTTTGTACAAGCATTTAAGTTAAAAATCATAAGTTATAAGTTATAACTTTTTTTCTACCCTATTTTTAATAAATTTGATGATAAACCTTAGCAATGAAAATTAATTGAATTATAAACAAGCTTAGAATGTTATAGTTTAACCTGTGTTCATGAATTTAAGTCTAGAAAATACAACTGTTTTTGGGAGGTACTGCCGCCTCAAAACTGTAGCAAACTAATGGAATGCAGCAAAGAAAACCATTACTGCTGCCCTATCGGTGAATTTTAGTGCAATTACTTTAGTCATCACGAATATATATATATATATATATATATATATATTGAAAACTAAGTTTGTTTAGATTTATTTTATTTAATAACTCAAATTTTATATTAAATTTTAAATTTCAACGATTCAACCGTTGAATTCAAAGTTCTTAATGCATGAAGCAAGTTTATAAATTTTTTAAAAACTTTGAAAATTATTTAATATTTCATTTTATTAATTCAAATTGGTTACACTATTGGTGTGTAAATTTTGCATCTAGAACGGCTCGTTCCAGATTCAAAATTTACACACCAAGAGTGCAACCAGAACGGGTCGTTCTGGTTTCAGAACGGACCGTTCTGGTTCTAGGTGTATTTAACAAATTTGGCATTCATCTACGTGACATCCACGTGGCTAATAATTAACTCCATTTAAATCATTTGGACGGAAGTACCAAATTGTAATAATTTAAATTATTAAGGACCAAATTGAAACAAAAAATTAAAGTGAGACTAAATTAAAAAAAATATTATAAGAGATTAAATAAGGGTTTTAACCTTTTAGATTATACATTTTCAAGCTTATTAAACTTGATTCAACTGAAATCATCTTATTTAATCAGGTTAAATTAGTTGAAAACGTTGAGAAATTTAATCCAATTAATATTGGGTCTAAGTTGAATTATTTGGTTTGTAGCCCCAACACCCACGATTAAGTTTGCTCACGTAATGCAGAAGTGGTAACAGAAGTATGATGTGGCTTACATAATGTTTGTTTCTAGGGAAAGTTGTGGAAACCAAAAGAAAAGATAAAGCAGAAACGAAACAGCGATTTGACTGAGTAATGGAGTGGAACTCATCTGTATCACCTTTTTTTTTTATATTATATTTGGTAACCACAGAAAAAGGCCTGAAGTGATTACTAATTTCTCTGAGAAATTATTGTGAGCTCAGAGATGGATTTTTTTCTTTTCTTAATATATATATATTTTTTTACTTAAGATTACTAATGAAACTCTGAATAATTTGGTTAAAAGATATAAATAGTTATTATTTATGTCAACTAATTAATTATCTATCACATTTTTGTCTATTTGATTTTTTTTTCTTAAAAAGGAAAATGCTTAAAATATCATGAGAAGAATGTTGAAGCATCTAAGGGACGACTTTAATGAGAATGGCCTTGCATTGCATGATCTAAATTACTTCGGCCTCCAATTTTTTACTGATATGATGATTCCACACTATCAATGAATGAATGTAATCTATGTATGCACTTTACGAGGAAAGTAAGATAGGAAATAAGTAGAGGTAAACAATAAATATGATAACTAATATAACAATTTTTTTAAAAAAATATAGAAAGTCTAACACAAGTACACAACTAATAGATAATTAAAATTTTTAAGTATGTTATAATACTCGACTGTAGATTAGAACATATTTTAGTATAAACAAAATTAATAATATTTAAAAAGCATAAAAAAGATTGTTAGACACTTAGACGGTTATAAAATTTGAAGTGGAAAAATATATTAAGATTAAACTAGTATTTTAGTTTTGGTAATAATGTATATGATAAATGATTATTTTTATTATTTTTAATTTTTAATTTATCATTGTACAACGATGGAATACAATTTTATTTTTTATAACAAAAATTTATTATAAATAACAATTTTATAATATATAAATTATATTTTAATTAAATTTTATGATAAAAAACATTTTGATTATATAAATTGTATTTCAATTAATTTTTTATAAACAATTTATTTTATAATAAAATATTATTTTTAATTCTTATAATATTTTAAAACTAAAATTTAATTTAAAAATAACAATAATATTTTGAAAGAGACAAGAAGTTAAGAAAAATAATTAAAAATACTCTCGTAGAATAATTATCTTTGAAAACTTTCTCATTCAACACATTTATTATAATTTTATAGAGATAGAACTTTGATATTTTTCAAATGAATAATAAATAGTTAAAAATAAATTTGTATCCTAATTTAAAATATTTATTATAAATTTGAAAGATCATTTATAAGTTAATTTTTTTATTATTACAATTTTTAATTCTAATATATTTTATAATAAATATATTAAAATTTTATTACATATATGTTTACGATAGTTAAAAACATATTTTTTATTTATCTTAAAAAAATTGTTTTAGCTGTCATTTTCCAGCAAGAGTTTTTTTTTTAACAATAATATTATTAGGAATTTGTTCATTTCTCATTTCTTTTGATATATAACTTTCATCTTTATTTCTAAAGTGTATTTCAATATTCTTTTAAAAATATCAATATTTAAAATAATTTTATATGACAATATAAATTATTTATCATAAATCTAAAATATGATTTAAATATTTTAAAAAAATTTACAAATTTTAATATAAGATAGTTTGTATATTTAAAATTATTTATTTTATTTCAATTTTAATTATATAAAATAAATAATTATTCTGTGTAAATATACTAATTTAATTCGTTTGTCTCTTTAACTTTATTGGATTCGGTGGTTCTAAACCTGGCTTTGGAGGCGTAGAGTTTAGTGTTAGTGAAGGGTTACGAAGAAATATTTAACTTTACCAATATTTTTTATATAGCAGTTGATATATAGTCGATAGAATAGTTCAATATATTTAGCAGAAGTCATTGGCTGAGGGTTCACATTCTTGTTGTCACCCATCTTGGGAGAAAATAATGAGACTAAGTTCGCTGCATATGAAGTAGGATGATTATAATTTGTGATTAAAAAAATTAAGCTGATCATTAGACTAAATCAAATCGTATTTAACAGCTAGCATTTTTAATTAGAATCTAATTAAAATGAATTAATAGTGTAATAAGATTTATATTATTATTTAATCAAATGTTATTATATATGGTAAGTTTGTATTTTTAGTCTCATATATTGTATATGATAAGTTTGTGTATCATTATCTTAAAAATTTTCTGAAAGAAGACATCTAATTGATCCATTTTTTTTATTTTTTATTTTACATTAAGAGTGACAACTGACAACTAAACTCTATTAACTAATGTAATCATATTTATATTTAATGGATGGATGAGATTGATATATATTTATAACTAGTTAGTATTTTGCTCTTTTCTTTTGTAATGTATAGTATAAAATTTTATTTTATATACTAAAATTTATAATGAATATATAAATTATATTATATTATTTTTTAATAAATAAATATATTTATCATATAAATATTTTAAATTTATTATAAATAATTTTTATTATAATACATAGTTAATTTTAACTATTAATAATTTATGTATAAAAAATAAAAGTTGATATTCAATATAAAAATAAAAATAAAATAATTTATTTACAGCGACAAGTTTTTTTTCTTTTCTAAAACACGCTTGTTTGAAAAAAAAAAACTTATAACTACTTTGGTTGAAAAATCGTTACCAAAAATACCCTCGTTTAAGATAGTTATTTTATTTTAATTTATAAATTAGTATTTTAATATGTATAATCTGTGTGATAAATATTTGTTTTTTATAATTCAAATTATAATAAATAAATATTTTAATATATAAAATATATTTTAAAATTATAATAAATATTTTATATTGTGATATAAAAATATTTTCAATCACCGATAATTTCTTAAAAAGTCAATTTAAAAATAAAGATGAAAAATGAAAAACTGAAATATTTTTTTTACATCAACTAAAAGACTTGAAAGATAAAGAAATTTAGAATCTTTTTAAAAAATAGTCGCATCGAAGAAAACTTCAAACATTATTTTTTAAAAATTCTTAAAAAGGTTCTAAAAATTAACTAATAAAAAAAATATATTTTAAAAAATATGTTAGGAAATGTTACTTTAACAATTTGCCTTATTTATTCAATTTGAATTAATGTATCCCTAATTCAATTCAACTAGTGATGATTATTATTGTTGTTATGAGGATTGCTAACAACAATGTTTTTTTAGTACTCTATTGGCAGAAATTTATTAAAATTACAAATTATGAGATCATACGTCTTATTTGATGAGTATTTTCTTGTTTAGTGGTAAGACCAGTTTAACTGGTAATTTTTTTTATAAAATATATATATATATATATATTAGCAAGAAATGTTAGAGAGACAGTTTGTTAACATTTCTTTTGATGTTACATGCAACGCAACGAGGTCGTTAGTTGTTCTAGAAAAGTCGCTTCAATTACCATATCATATATGCACATTACATGGAGAAGTGTTCTATATTATGAAATGAAAAATACAAAATTAAGCGATGAATTTTGTTTATTGATTCCTTGTGAGGTATTTTATCTTCCTTGTTTGGTTCATTGGTAGTGTACCATTAGCATAATACTCAAAAACATGAAGAAACTCCTCTTCCCCTTCCACTTGAATTCACGTGGTTTTTGAAATTTTAGTTACTTTTCCGTTGAAGCCAGTTGGCAAATGCCTCAAGGGTTTTCATGTCAGCCCTGTAATGCTTTTGAGTGAACTCAAGCAGCATGGGCCATGTAAAATCTGGGTACAGCCTTGGGCTCAATTTGTCCACTAATTGACATGGTGGACTCACCACCTTGTCACTTCTCGGGCACAAAAAGAAGGCCAAAGATTTTCTTGTTGTCTCGCTGTTCACCACTGCCCTATGCAAGCAGCTCTTGTATCTCCCATTTGAAAGAGCCTAATCAAAACAACTTTTACATCAAACATGGTGAATTGTATGAAAGACAAGAGTAAGTAACATAGTGACTAGTAACATACCATGAACGTATCACCGATATTGACAACAAAGGCATTGAAATCTGGTCTAATGGAATGCCACTCATTGTCAACACAAACTTGCAGGCCACCCACCTGGTCCTGGTGAAGAATGGTCAAAGATGTTGGATCACAATGAGGTCCAGTGCCTAAAGTGAGGTCAGGCTTTTGACAAGGAGGGTAGTAATTCAGCCTCATTATTGAACTATTCTCCTCAAAGAACTCCCTAAAAAAGTCGTTACCAACTCCAAGACTCATTCCTAGAAGCTCCATTATACCCAGAGAAAGATTGCTCATGGCTTCACAGTAGTCTTGGTAAACCTTTCTGTATAAATATGCAAACAAACAAAAAATGAGTGAAACCAAATGAAACATAAGCCACCAAGTTTAAACTTGATTATTGTTATGGTGAGAGATGGGTTAATTATGTTTGATTACCCAAATTGGTGAAAGTCGTTGCCCATTTTGCTGCACAAGTAGTCTTTGACAAGGGGTGGTGAGTCTTTGTGAGCTGAGTACTGAAAGGAGAGTGTCTCTTTCCAAGGGAGCTTAGAGGAGAATCTGCCAGTGAAGCTACTAGCATAGCCACAGTGTTCCCCTGGCATCCTCTGAGCCCTCTGTTTGTGAGACAGGGGAAGGGCAAAGAAGTGGTCCATGTAAAGGTGAGCATCAGAGATCAACTTTGGGTCAATCCCATGATTGACAACAAGAAAGAAGCCATGGTTTTGGCATGCCTGGCCAACAAGGGTTGAGGCTTCCATTGCAGCAAGAGGGTCACCTGAGAGGAAGCCCCCCAGGTCAATGAATGGGACAGGTAGCTCAGGCTCATCCAAACATGGCTTCTCCTCATCAGGCCAAATGAATTGTGAGGGTATGTGGAGTTGGTGTCTGAGGACAGAGGCATCAAACACCAGCTCTTTGCTACTTTCTTGGTTTGCTGGTTGAGGCACCATGGTGTGTATGCACTCTATTGCCATTGCATTAATTAATATTAATACAAGTTTGTTGTTGTTGGTTCAAGAGAGAGAAAGGGTAGTAAGTTGGTAGAAGGGATGAAGGAAAAGCCAAGGCCGCTTGTTGGGGAAATCGTGGAACAAATATTGGAATCTTATATAAGCTAAGCTCACTCCTACCCGCGGGCATCCACCATTATGTTTTTTCTCATCTTTATTTTACTAATTTCACTTACCCTATTCAAATATCAATACATCCGCTACTTAATTATATATTTATCATAATTCCATTTTTTTTAAATAAAAATTAAATTATTTCTTTATTTTAAAAACACTTGTGAAGAAATATTTATATCAATAAAAAAAATCAATATTGTAAGATGATGTTTTTGTATTTAGTTATCTTTTTTTTTAACTCAAAAGCCTCTTCAAAATTAAACAGATTTTTAAACTATTTTAGTAATGATCTAATGATATTAAAAAATTATCATTTTCTAGAAAGGAAATATGTTAATCACATTTTGTTATTTCTTCTTGAGGTTAATGTTAGTGTTATTGTGGAGAAGATAAAATAGTTAGTTTTATAGGTCAATTTGTTCAACCCGTTTTATTTATAGGCTGGGCTGACAATTTTAGTATGCTAACATTTTTTTTACTCAATTCACTTACTCATTAAGAAAATGAATTAGATTGAATAGAACCAGTTAAGTAACATGTCAAGTATTTCATTTTCTTCTCTTAACACCTAGATTTATGTTAAGATAGACAATTAATGTTATGTGAATCACCTTTATAAGCTGACAACGTATTATTTTTATAAACCGTCAAATTTACTTAAACTCATGATAATATGGTGCACCTCTCGTATCATATATATATATATATATATATATACACGCGTGAGAGAGAGAGAGAGATTTTTAAATTGTTGAATAAGAATTGTTTCACATTATTTATCTTTTCACCATTTTTTTAAATAGATTTACCTTTCCTCCATTACTCATCACCAGAAACAAACTTAAATTAAAAAAATACTGATTTGTCTCTTTTATTAGATGGCGGGACATTAATTTTATATG